TGGAATGATGTCGGGGACACGGGTAAGAAACGTCTCAGACTCGCAGCCCAGCCTGCAGCCGCTGCTGCCCACGGCTCACGGAGGATGCGCGCGCGAGCTTCGGGCTGAGGGAAGGCAACTCTACAACCACCGCCCTCGTTCAAATGTGGCTCCAAGAACACTCAGACGTTGATTTTGACTCACTAGTCATTTTAATTTCATCCTGTAAACTGGATTTGCAGGAGTTGGGCATATGTTTCATTCCACAGACATCAGAAATCTCTGAGAAAGATTTTGAAGAGCGTCAATAAAAATTCTACTCTTTTTTTAAAGACAGTGCCGGTGGGGATGGTGGTGCAGGGGGTCCTGTCTCTGCACTTCTAACTCCGCTCCTTGGCTACAAATTGGCCGGTGTTGCCAGCAAGGCCACTGCCTCTCTCACCACCTCATGGAGATGAGTGGCAGCCCTCAGCCAGCTGGCTGGGTCGATGACAGTATTAAAAATACAGATTTGTATCGCTAGGCAAAGAAACAGAAAGAAATAATGAATGTATCTGTGTGTAAGCAGGGCGGCCAATCAGGAGGGGTGCAGTTTTTGACTCCCTCTGACAACCAATTCAATTCTAAGTGCTAATAAAGCCCAGAACCACACTCACCCTCCTAAATTTCATATTTTTGGAATCTTATCTTTTATAGATGGTTCCAAAATTACCTCTATTTACCTAAGTGGTAGTTAAAAGCAGGGGAACTCTGTGTGGAAAGCCAGGGTTTAAATCCTGGCTCTGCCCAATACTATTCGTGTGAGCAAACTGCTAGTCCACCCTTGGGTAGTTTCCTCGTCTATAAAATGGTTGGTTCTGAAGATTAAACGCGTGAAACACAGGTAAAGGTTGGAACAATAACTGGCAAAAACGGAAGCTCTCAAGACAGGTTCCAGCTAGCACAACTACTGGAAGATTCTAAGAAAAAAAGGATACAGTACCCCTGAAATCTAGTCAAGGCTCTATAGCTGGCCAGAGTGTTTGAGATCTCAGATGAAATTTATAGGAAGCAAATGAAATTCGAATACAGCTAATAGCTCCCCTCTCTTACCGTGTAATTATGTGTACTCATTATGTGTGTAGCATGTTATTATTTAAATGTTCCTAATTTCAGCCCCAGCAGGCCAAGGGCCCTCAGAGAGTGGCCTCAGCCTCAGCCAGCCCTTTCAGAAGCTTTCGTCCATGTATTACCGCCAGCAAAAAGCAATGCAATCTACACAGGAAGGAGACAGAAGGCCCGCATTCAGCAGAAATCTTAGTGCTGCCTCCCCCAGAAGCCTGGCTCTAACTAACCAGCTGCAATGATGGCTTCGACTCCTACAGGACAATCCACGAGGCTGTTCCAGCACACATTCGCTCCCTCTAGTAGGCAAAAACACTCCTTCCTTGTCACTTTAGAACCACAAAAGCAAGACTGATGGCAAACATGGATTTTACAACATAAAATATGAGGCCTCTCTACTATCTTCCGTCTGCGTGGGTTATTACCACTGTACGAGACCTGCAGGAGCGGGCGGTGGAGCTCAGCCACCGAGAGACAAGCTGCTGCTGCTGGCACTCTGCTTGTTAACAGACACCAGACCCCGGCCCTCCTCACACAAGAGGCGCAGCCAAGGGGCTGCCAATTCGTTTCCCAGTTAGATAAAAAAAAAATTATGTCAAGCCCATGCTATTGCCAACTCAAAATATTATTTTTAAATTGAATTTTCCCAAGAAACTCTGGGAAGACCAATAACCCAGAAACGTCTTTACTTAATATAGGGAGAAAAAACCAAAATGCTTTTTTTTTCAATACTACTGTTGCAAAGATATGGTGTCATTCTCATTCCATTCTGCGTTCTAAAGTAAGTACTGGAGTCAAAGTTACATGACTTGAGCTGTAATTCCAATTCTGCTACTCCATAAAAAATAACCGTGTGACACTGGGAAAGTCACTACCACAGAGAACACTCAGAATGTTTTCTTCCATTACAACAAAAACGCCAGGGGTCTCAGAGGTACCTCACTATCCAAGATCCCCAAGCTACAAAGCGAGAAAAGGGAAGTGGGGGAGAGAGTCACCCCAGCACCATGCTATCTAGGGTACAGGCACCTGCTCTCACGTCTGTCCGGCCACTTTCATATCACACCACCCAGTGAGGGCTCTGTACCGGACAGTTTCAAAATTCTACCACCAGATAACTTCCTGTCACAATTAAAACTAGACCAATGGGGGGATAGGGTATAGCTCAAGTGGTAGAGTGCATGTTTAGCATGCATGGGGTCCTGGGTTCAATCCCCAGTGCCTCTTCTAAAAATTAATTCATTAATTAATTATTAAACAAACAAATGAGCCTAATCCCCCTCCCACCAAAAAAAGAAACAAACCAACCAACCAGGACCAATGGAACTTTTGAAATAAAAAACTTTCAACTTTTGAAAACGAACCTCGAGGGAATGGGGGACAAAAAAAAAAAAAAAAAAAGGAAAAGCATGACTGTTAAAACCACTCTTCACCCACAACTAACCTATCTTCTCTTGCCCCACAATGAAGAATCCCAAATAGTGTGCTGTGAAGTACAGCTCAAGACAAGGTCATCCTATTGCACATTATATGAATGATGACCTATTACAAAGCATCCATTCAAACTCAAGTGCTACACACTGAAGCACACATATGTACACACATTCAGAGACAACACTGCTTGCAATCATACCTGCTCCCCCACAGTCCTGGAGGCTGCCTGCTATTTATGCCTTCTCTGGATCACATCCCCCTAGGAGAGCACCCCTGAGATGCTGGGACCTACAGAGGAGGAATTATTCCCATGATTTCTGTGCTTCCCAGTAGCCGCCAAAGAAGAAAGCACACTTTGCTAGCTGCCTTTAAGGAAATTATTCTTAAAACACAAGTAAGTTCTGAAACAAGGCGATGTGTTTACTTATTAGCACTACTATCAAAATCCAATATACAGAATAAGAAAAAGGTGGCCTTGGAATACTGCCTGCACAACACTCAACATGAAGCAGAAAAGGGAAAGTTCACAGCAACCTCACAACCAAAAGACGGAAGCCATGATGTCTTAGTATTTAAAAAACAGTCAGTCTTTATCAGGGTGAGAGATCACCTACCACAAACAAACAAAAAATACCTTGTTTTAAATGCAAGTTTTAAAGAATTCTTTAAAGTCTTCAATGACCCCAACAGAGATATCTTTGCCAACTTTATTCTTAGAATTCCTTCCTCAATATCGTCACCTCTGTGACTGTGCCAATGAAAACGAGGGCTATGTTTGGCCAACTGGCTGGCAGCACTAGTTGCTTCTTGAATGACTTAGTTTCTGTTCTTTTACCCAAATTTCACCTTTATTCAATCCTGGACACCTGGCTACCTTCTTGTCCTGAAAGCTGATTTTTCCCAGTTGGGTGGTTTTTTTTAATCGCTGACAGACTCCTAAAGCACTAAGGCATCACCACTCCTGAACAGAATAAGAACACGACTGTCACAGCAGTAGGACCGAAACCCACATCATCCACAGCTCTACTGTTACTCCGGGGTCCAAGGATCCTCTCCTCCCAATCACCCTCCCCTCAAAAACGTAAAGCAAAACCCTGTGTTCAACATGAAGCCACGACAAAGAACGATCACATCACATGCCCTCTAAATAGACACAGGGCTTGGTGTTTACTCAATTACAGGCAGCCAAGGAGTGGGTGGCATCCCCACCTTGTAGGAGACGCAGGAATATACAGGGTCCAAATTGTGCAACTGTGGCAAGATTCTTTGACTTATTTTGCTTCTGCACATGCGAAAGATTCACAAATGGGTCTTTCCCATACACACCGACTCAGACTTCAGGGGGTTTCTGTTTCAAGTCACACAATACTAGCAGAACGTGGGTAGGCTGCAGAGGAGATCTCGGGGGAGTTCAGAGAGGTCATCTCAGAAAACCTCGCCATGGCCTTATGGAAACAGAGTGCCAACAGGTCCTGTCTGGAAGCACTGGTTCCAACAAACAACTCTCAGACAAGTCACCTTACAACTAAGCAGGATGGAAAGAAACGGGATGCCATAAGTCAACCTGTCCCTCTGCACCCTGGCAAGCGGCCAGGTTCCCCATGTGTGATGACTCTATTATCCCCTGATGACAGCAAAGACTCAAAAAGAAAAGCAGAATCTCTTCTTCCTCATCTTGCTCCAAGCAAGTACAAACCAGAACATGGTCAATTCATTCACATTTACATTAGATTCTAAGAGATTAATAAGCATGAGAGAGGCTGTGCAATGCTGCCACGGCCACATCCCCTGAGAAAATACAAGCCGTAGGTAAAATAACCACATGCTAGTTCTGAAATGGTCTTCACTGGATGATTTCACCTGAGTCATGTTAATCCTGTTGAAAAGAGACATCAGAATAAACTCAGGGAGGAGCAAGTTTCCTCCCCCGGCTTCCACAGATCTGTCTGATAACCAAACAGGATGAGGTGCACTTCCTGACACATAGCACAGGAGTTCTGTGCCACTGTCCACCTGCTGCCGCGCAGCCACCTGCCCGGCCTGCTCAACAAGGAAGACAGCCGGGCCTCAGGCAGCTGCGGAGCCAAAGAGAGAGCAGGAAGGGACGCAGGCACACAGGTTTAGACTACTTCCCACATAAACAGGGGATAAGAACCAAGCCGCCACATTTCAGCAAGAACAGCAAAGGCTTCCGCCATCGTGCTTGGGTAGAGAGACAGATAGCCACATAAAAAACCTGGAAGGCGGGCTCCACAGCAGAAACCAGATCGCAGCCCTGGTCTTGTCCATAGGGCAGACTAACTAAGGCACCTTGCCAATTATATTATGCACCATGAAAATGAACCTATAAACCCAACAGAATGTCCCAAAAAGCTGCCGTTAGGGGCCCGGCCTGAGAAGCACGAGTCACCCAAAGCACGTCCACTTCAGAAACAAGGCCAGGCCCAGAGACATCATCAAATCCAGCAAAACAGGCAACTCACCATTGACCGCCTTCAGGCTCCCAGCAATGCCTTCACCGTGCTGCCTCTTCTGGGCGTTCTTGAACTCCTTCAGAGACAAATAAAGGACCTTACGTACCACCCTTTCCTCTGACCACGGGATCCCATCACTGTCGTCCTGGAGAGACATAAGGAAGAATGGGGAGACGGGAAGTTACTCAAAAGAAAGCAAGCAAATAGTAAGAGTAGGAATAAACTTTAAAAAAAAATCGAAGCAAGTAATGTGTGATCGAGACCCAGTTCTGGAGATGAGAACTCAAATCCTTTGCTGAAGGGGTGGCACTGGGCCTTCCGACACCTGCAGAGACCTGAGGAAAAGAGCTCCCCAAAGGGCCGCAAAGGGACTGGAAGAAAGACACAACCATCTCTCGCCCTTTCTACGCCCCAGGCCCAAATACCGTCATGAACTAGTAATACTGAAGGTTTATACTCCTGGCAAAGTCTAGAAAAGAGTGACTGCACCCACAACAGGAGATGCAACGCACCTCTGTACTGGAGCTTTTTAAACTGAGTAATGCCAGAGAGGCATGCGCCCTACAAGTATGTGCTACGCTCTTGGAAAAGTTGTTGTTGCTGGGGGTTGGTGCTGCTTTGGAGGAATTTACAATTCAGTCAGAAGAAATGAAATTGAATCTGCACTGGCCTTTTAAGGAAATGAGTCCCCAAAAGGGGAGCTGGGTAGGGGCAGGTGGAAAGAAAGGGAGAGAGAGAAAGAAGAGAGAGACCACTGCAGAAAGAGGCAATGGATCTTGATGGAGTAGAAAATGCAATGGTAGGAGGAATGGTTTTTTGAAAAGAATACACACAAGTTAATAACAGGTCTTGAAGGTCTCGTGTAAAAGTGTGGCTCCCTTCCGTCTGTTGTATCAGATCCAGTACAAGTTCCAGAGAGACGAATGAACAAAATAAAGGCTGGGCTAGGGGGTGGGGGAACCAAAGAACCAGCAGCAGCCCAGAGACCACTCCAGCAATTCCAGTAGTAAAGACAGAAACGACCAGCAGGGATTGAGGCAGGACAAGCGCCAAGTCTGGGAAGACAGAGATGGTGGAACGGGTGCCCACGCTGAGTTCACTGCTTTAGGGACCCAGCAAGAAGGTTTTCAAGGTTTAAAGTGTTGCTTCACACAGCTGGGGACAGTCACAGGTTCTCTTCCACGGGTATCTGTACACTGTCTGCCAAGCTAAGAAGTCCTTACCGTCACACACCTACTTCAACACTTAAGCAGTGTCTAAGAGTTCAATTTAGAGATGGAAGCATTCTCAGATATTTGGGGCCTTAAGAGAATAAGGAAGACATGAACACTCAGGCTTTACTGAGCAGGATGTTGGATATTCCAGTGCCTTTTGTTCAAACAGGAGGCCAGGTATCCCGGAGTCAGGCTGGTGCTGCTGCACGGAATGTTCCACAGAAGTGGTTTGTTCTCTGCGGGCCACCGGGTCACGAAAACCTCCGTGGGACTAGACGAGGGGGTAGCTTATCCGAGGCCTCTTCCAGCTACACTCTGCGTACAAAAACTGCACCTTGGAAATCCAGCCGCAAGGACTCTAAGCCCTAAATAACAAAAGTGTGCGCCTGTTAAGCTTCCAGGATTTCCTAGAATGACAGTGATTCTCCATCTTCTGTAATTAGGGGAAGAGAAGGCCCGGGAGAGAAGAGCTAGGATTTCCACCCTGTCCAGCACGTCCCTCACTGCTGCAGGCCTGGCGGGCTGAGATTTCCGTTACCTCCAGGGGAAGAGGTACATCCTGTCTCCCCAGTCGCCCTCCTGGGAGAGCCCAGTCGGCTGCAGACCAGGGTGATGGTGGCCGCGGCTCACAGGGACAGCAGCAAACTTTGCCTCCACCCGACGGGAGGAACATGCATAACTTCTTAACTGCTACTGGGTCCAAGTCACCAGAGGTCTTCCAAACGCACAGTTAAAAGCCAGAAAAATGAAGCACCGACCAGACCCCACTTGGGGAGCCCGTGTAGCTACGGTGAGTTAAGACAAAGGTTCAGCTGCATGAAAAGCACAACGTGGCCCAATCCACTCTTGAAGCAACTCCCTTGGATGGGCATGAGAGCACCTCTAGCCTCAACTGAAGGACAGGCACAACTTCAGGAAGCGCCCAGGCCTATTAGGCGGCAATCCACCTTTCAGGATCCAGGGAAGGCAGAATTCTCTCCGTCTCCACCAGGTTCCTACTCTCAGGGTTTACATCTCCACAGCAAACAGTGCTGTGATTATAAACGATTATTTCTGCATACACACAGTTTATACATTACAAAGCCCCAAAATAGCTTTCAATGTAAAACTCCTACGGCAATTTACTGCCTCCTGTTCAGACTAGTGCCTTCATTCTGACTCCAGGCCCCCATGCAGAGAAATTACACCCCGACAACTAAAGCCTAATTAAAAGTCTAAGTAAACCACGTGAGATGAAAACTCCCGCAAAGGAAGGCGCACTGAAGGTTCGCTCCGTGACCCCAGAGGCCCCCTGACACCCATGAAGTGCTTTAAATGCAAGAGAAGCAAATCCAGGGCACAGAATATGGGGTTTCAAGTTCTTGACATTAAAAATCAAACTTAAAAAAACACACAATTGACAGTGCCGGTCAAGACTCGTCATCTCCCTCAAATGATGCAAGACACAAACCTAGTGGGTTAAGAAGCTGACTCTGTTGTTTCCAAAGGCTCACCAGGTAAGTAATAATTCAGAGATTAAAAATCAAACTGGCGTTCGCAGCTGCAGAGCCATGATGAATCACTACGTTACGCTCACAAGCCTCCCCAGTGGAAGGCGAGGTGCAGGAAGGTAAGGTGGACCTGCACCCAACCCCCAGGCAACACCACGCTGTGTGAATTGGGGTCGTGGGAAACCAGAAAGAAGGTACTTCAGGGGCCTGACACTCATCACCGTTCTGAAAGGCCAAATGCTGAGTGCTCTAGAGAACAGCTCAGACAAAACTCCCTCGTTAGAAGGCAGACTTCCCACACACGGTCATCCACACGTGGCCTGCCGGGGCCTGGCCTTGCCAACATCCAGGATGGGCGAAGTATGAAATCACGACAATTTTCTTGACTGAAATCACAGCTCCTCCCCATGAAACACTCCAGTGAGTAACCTAGGTGACACCTCTCATTCTCAGCCGTAAGCCTGTGGTGTCCACATCCTGGAGAAATCCCCAACCCGGTGGCCACACCACCCCTTCTGCAACTGCCTAGTTCCCTGCAGAACACACACTGCCCATCTCAAAGCCCACATGGCCTTGCAAGGCTCCAATGTACTGACCCCATCATAGTCCCTTACCCTCAGCTAAACACTAACCAGTCCTTCACAGACAGACACCTCTTCCGTTCCCGCGACCCCCCTACCTACCAGTCACCATCACACCCACACAGGCTCCTCCTCGCTCTCTCAGGCTTCTCTCATTATATCCTCCCCTACCCCCACCCCCAGTCTCCTGTATTCAAATATTCACTCCCAAATCACTATGGTCAAACAGCCCGATTGGGCCTCAGTTTTCAAAATCCACATTATTTCCGTTTGGCCTTCCTGGGCCACTTCAAACCACGCGGCTCTCCCTCCCCTGAGGGAATCACTCGGGATTTGAACTGCAGCACTAAACACAGAGAGATCCTTTCCAAGCTTCCTCCACTAAACCAAGCACCCAGTCCCTTCTCCTCTACTGGTCCGCTTCATAAAGGCAGACACAGGAGGAATCACAGCCATCGGTACAGGAGTCCAGCAGCCTCACTCATTCTGATACAAATTCAGTTGCCCAGAGTGTGCGTCCGTTCTTCTGAACTGCATTAATCATTTAAAAACATCCCTTGCCAAATGGGGTTTCAATAAGACCTCTAGGTTAATAGCCCATCAAAAATATGGCAAGAACAGTTCAAGCTCCCACCTTTCCTCATTCCCACCCGCCAATCTCTTACTTGGTTCTCCCAGAGCCCAAAACAAATGCTTAGCTAACACTGAAATAAAAATATTTCGGTCTGCCAACCGGGGCAACGGGGGGAAATGAACACCTAGCTCTAGGTTTAGTTTGCTATGGACTGTGAAAAATACCTTTCTTAGGCAAATGGAAGATTTGAGTAGTAAGACCTTTGAAAGTAATAGCGAGACAGCGTTATTTTCATTTGCAAAACATCTGCCATTCTTTGAAGTAACTGGATAATTTCTTGTCAAAAATGGCAATAGGTCAGGAATTAAACTAGAATGCTTATGGTCATGACCTTTTTCTTAAAAGGAAAAACAGAGCACAGCATAACCTCTAGCTGCTCCAAGTTTTATGACAGACGTGTAAGAAAAAGGAGCACAGAAAAGTAAGGTGTGAAGACACTGCACACCCTGCAGCGGGGCAGCACCACCTAAGCAACTTTTCCAAAGCCCACGGTCCCGGGAGAGACACAGCCGCCTTCTTCCCACCTCCGTCCATATCCCGGCAGCTCCAAATGCGCACCCAAGACCACCAGTGCCTTAACCACTTGGCGAGTTGTTAGAAATGTCGGTTCTTGGGGCCCTCCCCAGACCTACTTAATCAGAATCTTCATTTTAAGATCCGCTGGTGATTCTCATGCACATGAAAGTTTCAGAAGCTCGGCTGTACACACTGGTTCCCCATCCTGCCCATTTCACATCACTTTCTCATTCCCGTCAAAGTAAAGGCAAAGGGAAAGATGAGGGGAAACCCCAAGATGAATGCTTCCGAACTCCATCTAACTGTGGCATTTCTACTGTCAGAAATAAGAGGTCTGTATTAATATATTCTGAGAAATCCCTTTGACTTCAAATTCAGTGAATTAAAACAAGTGACCAAATAGCAAAAAGTGAAATCAACAAAAAAAAAAGTAAGGCACTAAGTAGTGTTAGTTCCTTGAATCGTTCCTATGTAACACAGTCTCTCAAATCCTCATTCTCTGATTACCCAAACTGGGGTGACTTCCGTTTAAAATGTGACACCCGGAATTAAATTAAACATACATTTCAACATGTGAATAAACAGTATTCCAGAACAGGGCCAACACATGCAATAAGATCATTTCTATTTCCTTGCACAAATCCAAAAGTGAGGATACAGTGTAATGCAGCCACATTACACGGTTGGATCTCATTAAGCTTGCAGCTAAC